TCCTCCCTAGTTCCCACCCACTCCCCTCCCCATGTTGTTTCTACGGTGCGAGGACGCACCTTCCAGGAGGGGGGAGTAATGTCACGCCCCTGGACTCTTTGTATTGTGTTTTCCCTCCCTAGGTGTGCTGTGTTCCCTTTAATTAGTCATTCCTTGCACCTGTGTTTTCCCAATCACCCAGTGTTTAAAAGCCCCAGTCCTTTCAGTTGGAGTTTGTCGGTCCTCAAACGTCATTCCTTGTGTTCCAGTGTCTCCTACATTCCCTGTGTGATCATTAAAGACTGTGAATTGAAGTTATCTCGGTGTTTCCTCATTCCTCGCTCCTTGCCTCCCGAGAAGTGTGACAAAGATGGGAGTAACAATAGCACACGCTTCATCTGTGACTCACAGGTGGTGAGAAAAAGCACTTCAAAACTAAGACACAAATTGCATCTTGTGCAACTCAAATCAGCAGCGCCTAATTACAGGGAGCCTGGTTTCTTCAAGAAACCACAACTGTTCCTACAATCAGCTGTTCATCTGTAAGAGTTTTCTCATAACTGGATGTCTAAACATTTTGGGGAACTATGACTTTGTTCTTCAAATGAATTTCAGGTATTATTATGATGTTTAAATGTGGTGCTAATTGCAAGTCTAAATTGGTCAGCCTATTTTAAACTTTTATTTAACATTAATAATAATAACTATTATTTTCACTCCTTTTTAAGGCTTTATTCATTTATTAAAGGAATAGTTCACCCAAAAATTTAAATCTGCTGAAAATTTACTCACCCTCAGGCCATCCAAGATGTAGATGAGTTTGTTTCTTCATCAGAACAGATTTGGACAAATTTAGCATTAGTGTGAGTGTGAAGTGACATGTGGCGAAGTATGGTGACCCATACTCGGAATTAGTGCTCTGCATTTACCCATCCAAAGTGCACACACACAGCAGTGAACACACACAAACCGTGAACACACACCCAGAGCCATTTATGCTGCGCGGGGAGCAGTTGGGGGTTCGGTGCCTTGCACCTCAGTCGTGGTATTGAAGGTGGGAGAACAGGGAGCGCTGTACATTCAGTCCCCCCCACCTACAATCCCTGCCGGTACGAGACTCGAACCCACAACCTTTGGGTTATGAGTCCGACTCTCTAACCATTAGGCCACGACTTCCTCATTACATCACTAGCTGATAAAAGCATCACAATAATCCACAAGTAATGCACACCACTACAGTCCATCATTTAACATCTTGTGAGGCATATATATATATACCCCAACAAATAAAATATGAGTCCTCACAAATATTGCTTTCTCCAGTGAAAAATTTGTCTCGTCTGAATCAGGAGAGAAATATCAAGCACCGTTTACAAGCGAAAACTAGTCCAGAACAGTTCTAAACAAAAATGTAAGTGGATTTTGATGTGAGAGGACAACAGTAGATGGACACTTTCACTGGAGGAATTATGTATTATGGATTCGAACTTTGGTCAGAAGCAATGGTTTAAAATTAAGTTCCTTAATGATGGATTTCTTTATTATAAACATGCAGCTTTTCATTCACAAGACATTAATTGATAGACTGGAGTTGTATGTATTACTCGTGATGTTTTTATCAGCAGTTTGAACTCTTATTCTGACAGAACCCATTCACTGAAAAGGATTCACTGATAAGCAAGTCTTAATTTATTTACTCATTTATTTATTTTTGATGCAATAATCATACAGGCCATTACTTAGGCCAGGGGTGCCCAACCCTGCTCCTGGCGATCAACTGTCCTGCAAAGTTCAGCTCCAACTCTAATCAAACACACCTGAAGTAACTAATTAGGGTCTTCAGGATCACTTAAACATTAAAGGCAGGTGTCTTTGATTAGAGTTGGAGCTAAACTTTGCAGGACAGTCGATCGCCAGGAGCAGGGTTGGGCACCCCTGACTTAGGCTATCAAAGTTTCATGCATTTGAGAAAGTTGAAAAAAACAGACACATTTTAAAACATAAAAAGTCACTTACATAATGCTAAACAAATTATCTTTATAATAAAGTGTAAATAAAGATGCCCTAAATGATTTTAGTGATAATCCTTTCCCTACACTATAAAAAGAACCAGGCGAGAGGAAGGAAGTCAGTGAGGGAGAAGCAGGTTACGCTGCATGAAATTGTCAGATATTATTCAGGGACGCTCTGCTCATAACTCCTCATTCTCATATACGACCCTCTTATGAACTGCTATATACAGTACATCCCAACCTGTCTTTCCTGGGCTATTTTTTGTCCTAAGGCTCCTGATGTCATGGTGGTCTCTCTATTACTGGTGCTATCCTGTTGCTGGGGCTGCTTTCACTCATGTGGAAACTGTTTATGACTGCTGTGATTATGCCAAGTTTGATGAGGAGAAGTGGGGTACTGTCATATCCCAGTCAGGCACCGATAATGATCATATCAACTACATTCCATGTCTCTGTCAGTCACAAGTGGATTCATTAATGCATAGAATGCCAAAGCCCATAGAGAAAAAGATTTTTAAAGAAAAGATTGTTCTAATAGGAACGCTCTTCAGCATTCATGAATATGCGAAATGACCACCTTAATGCATGAAGTGTCAGCACAAAGTGCAAAGCAAGACAGAAAAAAATGTAAACACTTTTACATAGCTTCCAGGCTTAGTTTGACACATTCTTGCATATAGACTGCAGCTGCCTCTGAAACTTTTGTTGCCATAGATACAAGACATGCACTTGCTTCTGGAGTTTCACTGAACTCTTCTGGAACGGTTGTTTCCATGGCAGCAGTTACACTATAGGTTCTCTGGTGCTGTATTAAAATATATTAATAGCTCTGTTGGAATATATAAATATACCAAACTGTCTATAACTATAACTAGGTAACACTTTACACAGTATACAAGTACTTACAAATCATTTGCAAACTGTAAGTCTTTGTTAATTCATAGTTTTCTAAACTGTACTCAATACTTTAATGGACTCTATACAAATAGTGAGTTCTTCTTTCACTGTCACTAATTAACAAATTATTATGGCTTTATTAGCTCATATGTAAAGAGTTAGATAATGCTTTGTTAACAACTTAACAATAAATAGTTCTCACTTTAGATTAGGTCACAGAAAATATGAAAATGTCATTAATTAAGTGCTTTAAACAGCCCTTTACTTTTACATTTTCCAACGCTTTGCATTACATTAACTTACATTATTATAGATTATTATATTATATAGAATTACATTTTACATTAATTGGATTAGTATTAAGTGTTCTTTATACAAAATGTATATTCTATCCCCTTACACTAACCATAGTTTTCTGTGATGGATAGGTTTAGGGGATAGAATATGCAGTTTGTATGGAGTCCAGGTAAACCACATATGCAAATATGTGTGTGTGTGTGTGTGTGTGTGTGTGTGCATATGAATGCAATTAATGCTCAGTAAAGGTTGGTTTATAGCAGTGCTTGAAGTGGAAAAAAGAAGTGCTGGTACCATTTTCATATTTCTCAATGTATATATATATAATGCCGAAAGAACGAAAGAAAGAAAATGATTTAGAGCATTTTTAATAAAAAATAAGCACCAGTTAAGCTGTAATACCAAACATGACCACAGGGAGACGCCAAAAGACCACTAAACCTTCTGCCTTAACCTGACTGTACATGCTACTATACGGATCCATTCAGAATAACTAAACCACTGACCAGCGCATAATCTAAACCACTTGGCACCTTCAGCCAACATTCATTATAAAACACTCGTGCTTTTAAGCCAAATGCATGCAGAAAAGTATAATTTACTGCCAGTTGGACGCGAGTCACTAATCTCTCTGCCATCTCTGATGAAATCAGTCTGTTTTCTCTGCATTAGCGCTGTTTTGAACTTATTACTTATTACTAATGGATTCCCTTACTGGATCCTTGAACTTTCCAGAAGTTTACAGGTTTCAAATGACCTCCTGGGTAGTGTGCTTAATAGTGTCATTTCTAATCACCCAGACACTGATGCTTTGACTCTGAGTACAGGTGTTCTGACAAATAATGCTACCTATCAGATTATGCTACCAACGCTGTATTTATCCTACTGTAAGGGTAGGTTTAGGGTTGGGGTAGGTGTAAATGTTAATAAAGCCTCACACCTTATTAATATCATGCTGGAAGCAAAATCTGAAAGGTAGCACTTTTCGCTATCGAATTATGCTACCATCTGTTTTAATGGGAGGTAGCAAAATCTAAACACCGGCAACATGTCAGAAGTGCCGGTATGCACGAAAAAGTGCCAGTACGATCAAGACTAAAAGTACTTATCGGCCCACTTCAAGCACTGGTTTAAAGCCCTTAATGACATTTTCCCATTTTTCGTGACCTAATCTAAAGTGAGAACTATTCACACCTAATAACCAATTTACAATTCCTTTACTACGACCCAATTAAACAACAACAATAATAATCGTTAATTACAGTGACAATGAATGATATAGGCTAGGCCAGTGCTTCCCAAACCTGTCCTGGAGGACCATCTTCCTAATCAGACACACCCAATTTAGTTCTTGCAGTCTCTACTAACGAGCTGATGAGTGGAATCAGGTGTGTTAGATAAGGGAGATATACAGAAGGTGCAGGGCAGGGGGGCCTCCAGGACAGGTTTGGGAAGCACTGGGCTAGGCTATGGTCTATTAATATATTATTACACGGCTCTGTGGAATACTTGATTCGGTTGATTGAAGCTGGTTGTTGCTAAACAGCACCACTAAAACCAAAAGGGCAAAAATAATAAGATAAGTTTACCCCATAAGTCAACTTAACGGTGGTATTGTGATAAAAGGAAAAATGATATATTAGTTCTTATATGATCCTGTCTTTTTAAGTTTTATGAGTTTGATAAGTTATGCAATATTAGGCTATGCAAATTTTACTTAATTTTCGTATGAACATGGTGCTTATGCTTATGTTTCATACCTTATTTTTTGGTAATTTTTTGAGTTCTCCATTTGTGTCACCGGTAAAGTAAATATGGAAAAACACTCTCACACTGTCTGTGCAAATTATGTCAGAATGGTCGATAGGTGGCGATGTTTCTTTGGGCGAGCTGCTGAACTGGGCGGAGACACTGACGCTGAACGATCATGTGCGTCCGGTTCGCATGAGCATGGCGGCTCCTGCTGTTGCTGTTGGTTCTACCTCCGCAGAAAACATGTCAGAAACTGCGAATGGACCCACGGAGAATTCCGCTGAGGCCCAGAAACGACCGCAGTTCGGCACTCGCTTCCTCACAGACCCGCGACAGGTGTTTCAGCACAACGCGTGGTATGTTAGGCTGGATGTCTGTCTCATTCACACACTCCAGACTGCAAACACTTGCTCTGTCTGGCCATGCTATCAGTTTGGCACTCACTCTGGACATTTCGATAGGATTGTCTTTTTTTTATTTATTTTTTTAAACCTTATTAGGTGTTTCCAAGCTAAATTCACTAAGTAGCTGTTAGGTTTGTCTTTCTCCTAACACTAGAGGAGGACATGTTTGTGTAGTAGAGAAATAACCGCAGGGTACCAACCTGAAAATATCAGGGTATCTTAACTCTTTTATTTTTTAAATTGTAAAATAATAACTGAAAAATCTTGACAAGTTAAGGGAATATATATTCTTCTATTTCTGCTCAATTAAAGATCTAATTTGCTATTAGTTTTATTTCAATTTTTTATATAGAATGTCTATCAATTAATTATTACTATTATTATTTAAATCGCAAAACTAAAACCCTAAAAATCTTGTAGCTTTTAATATGCTGTGTTATGGAGTGATTTAAAGTACTTGCATTATCAGAGTACAGACTATATAGAATGACATAAAGCATTGATTAGCTGTAGCTTCTGTATGTGATGCATAACAGGACTGTGTGCTGCTGTAGTTTTGTTCAATTATACTTGTGCATCCTTCTAATAGACCTGTTTTGTTTCCTTTGTCGCTCACTGTGATGGTATTTCACCTCCTGTAGGGATAATGTGGAGTGGTCAGCTGAACAGGAGCAGGCCGCCCAGAAAAAGGTGCAGGAAAACAGTCAACCTCTCCCAGCAGAAAAACAAGGTTCATCCATCACCTGTCTATGTTAGCTTTATAATAAAAATGTATTTAAAAAATGTAAAGATGTTTAAACGCAATTAAATTAAGCTATAAATAGACATTTGTTCATGATGGAACTCTGTATGTTATTTTAGTATTATTAATGTACTATAAATATTTTAAATGAGCTTTTATGTTTATACTTTCACTTTTCAATTTTAATTTTATGTGCTTTTGATATGTTCTCTGTTTAGCTTGAATTTATTTTTGTGTAACTTATTGCAGTTATTTGCGATGCCAACATTTTTAATTTAGAATTTTTAAATTCTAATATTTTTATTTAATTTCATCTTTATTTCAGTTTCCAAAAATGCTGTTTAAATTTATCATCCAGGTGTTGTTGTTTTTTGACTAAATGTGCTCTTTGTTTGTATCTCCTTCAGAGGGGTTTGACAGCAGGGCCAATGAGTACTGGAATGATTTCTACACCATTCACGAGAACCGCTTCTTCAAGGATCGCCACTGGCAATTTACAGAGTTTCCTGAGCTGGCCCCTCAACAAAAGCCTCCACAAGACGCTGAGGCGAATCTGTTAAATGTTGAAGATGTTCCCTCGACTCACAATGACACCGAATTTCCTGGAGCCTCTGCATCCTATCGCATCCTGGAGGTGATTTAATTTTTTTACGTGGTAGATGTATTTAAAGGGTTTGTTCACCCCAAAATCCTGTCAAATTAATTACTCATTTTCATTCTGGCATGGACCACAAAAGGAGATATTTTGAAGAACGTCCATGCTTTTTTTTTAATACAGTGAAATTGAATGAGGACCAGTGGCAGTTGTACTCACCATTCACTTTCATTACATGGAATGAGAGTGCGTAAGGATGATGGTTTTAAATTTTGGGTCAACTATTCTGTGGTGAAAAGCCTTGATGAAAATGAAAGCCTTGTCAGTAGCGAGCCCCAGCCTCATTTTCTCCTGTGTATGTGTTTTAGGGTCTTTAGGTGGGCTGTGGAGTAGGCAATACAGTCTTTCCCATCTTAAAAACCAACAAGTAAGTCCAGATACAAACCAACCAGACCTGCCCTCAGTGTTTGTCACCCACACAGATTAAATAACTTTTCTTTTTGCATTACAGTGATCCAAGACTCTTTGTTTACTGTTGTGATTTCTCCAGCACGGCTGTTGACCTTGTCAAAGTAAGCTTCAGGAAGCTTCATTCATCAATTTTTTAAAAATTTATTTAAGAAATCTGCATTCTGCATTTATAGATGATCTTTATGCATGTTTCGATTCATTTTTTGGCAGTCAAATCCTGAATATGACCCGTCGTGTTGTCATGCGTTTGTCCATGATATGAGTGATGCGTCTGCAGAGTATCCAATACCAGACCACAGTCTGGATGTCATTGTCCTCATATTCATGCTGTCTGCCCTGCATCCTCAGAAGTGAGTGTAAATGACACTGAGTGAGCAATGAAATGAACAATGCCTCGCACTGTTTTCATCAAGCACGTAACCTTTAAAACAGTGGTCCTCAACTAGGAGGACTTTGCGGGGGGGGCCTAATAAGTCTTAAAATGATTTAAGTGTAGTTATATTAACATAATCTTAATTAAAATGGTAAAAAAAAAAAAAACTCAAAAAGATAAACAGACATATTTTTGAATGTATTTATTTTTATTACAACAGAAACACCAGAAGTACATTTCAGCTTAGATAGGAAGGCGTTTAAATATTGTCCTGGACAAAAAGAAGCCTTGGAGTCAAAAAGGATGAAAGCCATTGCTTTAAAGTGATTGAAACTGGTGGTGGGCATTATGTAATTTTGATTGGTCCATCATGGCGTTTTGTCAGTTATTTTTTGCTTAGTGACCGTTAAGGCTGTTCACACCAAGAACAATAACTATAAAGATATTAGCGTCTACACCAGCAGATCATAACGTTCTGTTTATTATAAGCGCGCCCTGCAGTTTTGTCGTCTGCTGCTTTAAATGCTTGAGCTCTTTAAAGTCAGGTGGGTTCTGATTGACTGATTGTCAATATTTTTGTTTATCGGCTAGAAAAGAAGAACATTCTGAAAGTTATTCCAATGATATTGTTCCTCTGTGGTGTTATCATTATAGTTGTGATGTGGACTTCACTATAATCATTGAATTGGAACAATTTTTAAAACTTTATTGTTATATTTATTGTTGCTAGATTGAATGGACTTTCTTACACTGCTGTGATAATTTCATGTCTCTCGCATCACTCTTGAAAATATTTAACTCAAGCAACTATTTCATGTCTATTTATTCAAAATGTAACCATGTAATAAGTAGGGTAATGTATAGTACATTATCACAAAATAAACATGTGAAAAGTCTATGCCTTTCAAGGTAACTTTTCAAAAGAAAATCTGTAGGTCATGTCTGGATTGCAGTAGGCTGTCTTGCATCGTGTTCGAAACACTTGAAAATGCACCAAGTAAAAATGTCTGCGTTAACATATTTTGCAGGCCAAAATGTCGATATTGCACTTTTATCCTCATAAGACAATTATTTTTTTCAGGCTAAACTTTGGAGGAGTTAATTTATAAGATGAACCCAGAGAAACTTTTACAATTTTTATCACAAGTGTAATTAAAAAAAAAATCTCTAATAGAGTTAGGTATGTATAAATTGGTTCAGTCATATATTTTGTTTTTCAGTAAATTTATTATTTGTTGGATTGTTTGTGTTTATTGAATGTTTAATCTGTATCTGCCATGAAATTAAGCTGATATGGCAATAATCTTAAATACAACAAAAACCTAATTGCTTGTTCTTTTCTTTATCAGGGAGGTGCTTGTCGGAAAATTTCTACGTTAGAGGGGATGGAACACGTGTCTACTTTTTCACACAAGGTAAATGCATGTTCTGACTTGCATTGTACACTTGTACAGTCTAATAAGATAACCTCTGTTTGATGAATACACTTTGGTTTCACAATATGTCATGAAAAAGTCATTCTAAAATATGAATACAATAATAATGGGATGTCACACATTTGCAGAGATATTTGTCTGACTTTTGTCATTTTCCTGTAGATGAGCTGCATGATCTGTTCTCCAGTGCCGACCTGGAGAAGGTGCAGAACTTAGTGGACCGACGCTTACAGGTGAACAGAGGAAAACAGTTGACAATGTACAGAGTCTGGGTACAGTGCAAGTATCGCAAGGTCCTGGTGCCCCCTTAGAATCAAGACCGCTTATTTGGAGAGATCGAGAACATCTGGGCTGAACCATGAGAATATTGTGATATGGTTGTTTTAAAGATGATGGACAGGTTGCAACAACAGGGGGGATTGCGGTGCTGACATGTGATTGAACGCGCTGACTGGTATGAGACTCAATCTTATGCAGCCTACTTGGGAATGTTGATGGAGGACATGATGAGTTCCCATGATGCACCTGAGGACTTTAAACTTTGTCTATCACATGTTTTTAAGGACATTTTTTAATCTTATGAATAAAAACTACATGATGTATTAAATCAAAGCCTCTCTCTGAATTTCAGCTTCTCGTTTTTTTTCTTTCTCATTTACCAGTTACAAAGCTAATATATGGCTAAAAGTCACAAAACTCAAATTTTTCATTTCATTGGCTCTTTAATTAATTATTATGGTTTGTTTTGTGGTCACTAAATGAAACTGGATTGCCATGTATATGGAAAAGCTGGAAATATCAGGGATAATTGCAAACTGGATACATGTAAATGGTTTAAATCAAATGTGAACTTCCAAATTTTTTCATTCATCAGACTATTTTATTAAAAGTGACCGACACTTGATTGAAGTAAATAAATTCTCATTGTACTTTTATTTAAATTTTACATTTTGCACATGCTTTGAGATGTGATATCAATAGTAATTAATCATAATAATCATTCATGTGTCCTTCTAAATTATCACAATAATACAGGACAATTTGAGTCACTGTCCAATGAGTTTTAACTTTACACCTTTTTCCACTTCAGGTTTTATAAGCCTTATTTCATAATTTCTGACTGAAAAGCTGAGCAAAAAACTTCTCCACAGTATAGTTGGCAATATTTTTTTTTATAAAGCTGCAAGTGCACTGCTCAAAACCCTATACTAAAAGCACAGAAAAAAATGTATTGATTTTTTTTTCTTTCATTAAGTGTTTGCTAATGTAAATGGGCGTGGTTGAAAGGTAGAAATGTCTTGCACAATCTCACGAGAAAATATGAGATTTACCGATTATTGTTTACATTGCAAAAAATTAGAACCGAACCGATTCTGATTTCACTAATCTGATTGGGAAAAGTATTCGTTCATCTACATCACCTAATATTTGTAAATGGAGATGTTCGGGTGGAACGGAATTTAAAGAGCCGATTTTTCATTCCAAGACTTGATCCCGGTTCGGTGCTAACCCAGAGCTGCGAAGACAAACAAGAGAAACAAAATATCTCAAAACAAGACAACGATTAACTAACTTCGAAGCGAATCGTGTCATTTTGGATGGAAAATCGTTAGGCGTGGATCTGCAGCGAGGTACCACATGCCTCCGATCTGATAGAAAATAGAAATCGCAGAAGGCCAGTGGAGAAAGGCGGGTTCGGAGATCAAGGCCTCGGAGGTCTCGCAGTCCTCGGACTACGGTAGGACGCGGAGCTGGCGTCCCCTAGCGACACAGCAGACACCGAGCGCAGGCGAGGGTCGGGGATTCGGCTAAGGCCTAGTGCTGAGATGTCGGGCTGAGACGGGAAGGGCGAGACGGGAGACCAGAGGAGGAAGAAAAGAGAGAAAATAAAACGGTAAGAGGGTGAAAAGACCCCGATAATACAGGTACAAAGACAAATGTCGCGGTTTAAGGAGGCTCGCAGAAGAATTCGCAGGGCATTGAAGAAACAACAGACAATAGAAGCAAAACCCAGGGGTAAAGATTTACTGAGACGGTATTTAGATGCAGTTTCTGTTGTTTTGATCCTTTGCGAACCTCTTCGTCCTTTGAAACCTTATTGTTTTCCTATTTTCTGTAAGTTATCCGTTATTTAATTCAATCGTACACATCTAATGATGGAGCCAGTATGATAACTTATTAACCATGCCAATTCATCATTTAATCTTGAAATAATATACAATATGCTGGAACAAGTGGTTACAAATTCCATTGAGTTAGGTGTTTAAATCATGTCGGACGTTTAACGGATGAGATTTACCTAAAATATAGATCGGTGGTTGCTCTAATGTTGTGTAGTTTGGTTGGTTGGTTAGTTAGTTAGTTAAGAAGTATATAGAGTTGTTCAGGTTTCATTGTGCATTTGTTTTTTTTCTTTCTCGTCAGCCACCTTCTCCGATCATATTAATTATAGTGTATGATTTTGCGCTGATTGCATTTGTTTCCTGGTCGAAAACAAGTCTGATTGATTAAAAATCAATGTTTCTTTGTTAAATGCACTGCAGGCCACGTGTTGCATGTGGATTGACATGAAGATCTTGCATGATCATGGGGTTTTTTTGTAAGTTATCTACAGGATATGGCTTTAGGTGGGAGTGAGTTAATGATGGAGTAGTGGTGGTAGGGAGGCTGAGTCATGAATCTCAGAATGCCCTGGAAAACCTGTATCGAGGACACATGACTCAACATGTCATGCACATTACTGTCCCATCAGTCTGTCAGCATCACTATGGCTACATAATGTCATGCACTCTCTCTTCCTCTCTCTCACAGCCATGATGGAGGAATTGCACAGCTTGGATCCTCGCAGGCAGGAGCTGCTGGAGGCCCGTTTTACAGGAGTCGGAGTTGCCAAGGTCTGCCTGGTCACAAACTGATATTTCTGCCCCCATTTCTATTTGTTCATGATAATCAGTAATTTCTGCACATACCTTTCCCCCCGCATCTTCACTCATTCGTGTGTTTGTCTAGGCCTTGGGCTAGGGTGACCATACGTGCCATTTTCCCAGGACGCGTCCTGGCCAGGATTTCTATATTGCCTAAAATATCTAGGTTTTGGCTTTGTTTGCGTGTGCAGACTGATCGGTGTATGACATCAAAGTAGCATACAGACAGTTATGCTTTCGAAACGCTCTCGAGGTACTTTGATGTCAAACACTGATCGGTCTGAGCTGCACTGCTTTTAAGTCGAACACACCTAATACGTACGCGTAATTGCATCGCTTTGACTGTAGATCCCACCTTCTCACACGCCATGATTGGTCCATTATGTACAATGCTTGCATGTTATTGGTCAAACTACTTTTCGATCATTACCTTCAGCAAGCATGAAAACAAAGCCAAAACAAATCCTGGCCAGGACGCGTCCTGGGAAAATGGCACGTATGGTCACCCTACACTATGTTTCAAAGGACTGCAGGCTAACTTCTAAGTAACTAAAGGCCTTTCTCACATTGGCTAATGTTAATGTTCATGAGTTCACCATCAGGAGAACACTGAACAACCATGGTGTCCATGGCAGAGTCACAAGAAGAAAGCCACTGCTCTCCAAAAAGAACATTGCTGCCCATCTGCAGTTTGCTAAAAAATCATGTGGAGTTGAAGTGGTTCTGTACTGAGGAATGGGCCAAAATTCCTACAAGCCATTGTGTAGGACTATTCAGCAGTTACAAGAAACGTTATTGCAGTTATTGCTGCAAAAGGGGGTCACACCAGATACTGAAAGCAAAGATTCACATACTTTTGCCACTCGCAAATATTTAACACCGGATCGTTTTTCTCAATAAATAAATGACAAAGTATATATTTTTGTCTCCTTTGTTTGATTGGATTCTCTTTGTCTACTTTCAGGATTTGTGTGAAAATCTAATTGTGTTTTGGGTCATATTTATGCAGAAAAAAATAAAATTCTAAAGGGTTCCCAAACTTTCAAGCAGCACTGTATATATACAGTATATACAGTGTGTGTGTGTGTGCTGTATGTAGAGGATGAATGTTTTAGCTCTTTGTCTATCTGGGACTGTTTCTCTAACAGAGGAGAGGGCTCTTTACCCCTGCCAGTAAAAGCTTCTGCTCCATCATCAAATAAATATGAGAACATCTCTTTCCTGCTGCCTCTTTGTCTCTTCCTCCCTGTGTGTTCTTCTCGCTCATTCTCCCAGTGAGCATCTGCATTTTCCATCTCTTACTCATCCCTCTTTTTCCAGAAATATATCTAGCACTGTTACCATTGCATCATTGTTACCATGATGTTACTTATACAATTACTTTGCAGTTACTCGCTGTGACCGTTACCATCCCTGCAAAAGAAAAAAAACATCAGCCTGTTTAAGAGGAGCTTTGGGCACTTCTCAGCTGGTCAGACTGAGAGGCCATCTTGCCAGTCAGTTTAACACCAACTTGGCAGCCTAGGAGAAAGCATTAACATGTTTAGCCTATGTTTTTCAGGTGAAATGGAAAGAAGTTACAGGTCTCGTTTTCACATTGACACACAGAAAATTCTAGAAAATTGTCATTATTGTGTGTAAATCCTGAAAAGATTGAGGCTGAGCCTTATGAGTGTGTCTGTATTTGATTGTGTCTGTTTGTCTGTGAGAAATAGAGACAGAAAGTGTATCACTGTGTGTTTTCAGGTAGCACTGGTGCATTGCGCTGATCCCTACACACACAGTGGGTAAACACAAAAACTCAAGTCACTCCCAGAAGCCAAACTATACAAATCCTGCACACTGCAGAACAGAGAGAGAAGGAGGAAAGAGAGACGGATGCACATTAAAGGAAGAACTCCAGAAAATGTGTTTTGAAAAACCCCATCAAAAACTTCCTATGCGGTAAAGTGCATGCAAATTCAGTCTTATTCTTCTCTCGCTCTCCTGACAGTCTCCTTCACCTGTAGAAAAAAGTCTATACTCAGTGACTTTTAATAGTCTCAGCCTCAGATGGATTCACTGACCATTCTCTGACCATCTGATGCATAGTGCACTTCTGAATTGGAAAGCAATTTGAATTTGAATTGCTATCTTTCAGGATTACTGTATGTGCACAGAGTTGAGTGGTTTTTTTTATTAGTACACCTAAAAACATCTCTAGGATACGTATGTAACCATGGTTCCCCGAAGGGAACGAGACGCTGCGTCGAACGCTTTGGGAACGCCCCCGGAGAGACCACGTTCTGTAGCATGTGTGAAATCAGTCCAATAGAGAAGCGAGACATCACGAGCGGGGAGACGCCAGCAACCAGGAAGCATAAAGGTGCATCTGGCAAGCGCACATGTTAGCTTCTGCGGAAGCGAGCGCCTGCAGGGACGCAGGGATTATGGCAGGGAGATGCAGCGTCTCGTTCCCTTC